ACGATGTGACCTCAGTGCAGAGCTGACCTGCTCACAGAATCGTTCATCCTCATCTCAATTCCTCTCTGCTGCATTTTCCCCCCATTTCATTAAACACCAATTCTATTGCTGGAAAGGAGGAGGTGGTGGTGTAGACCTGGAGTTTGAGGGTCAGTGGTGAGGGCTGTTGCCTGGAAGGGGATCTCTGTAGCCCAGTTCTTCAGTCTAGTTTAGGACTGGGTGGGGAAGAAACCCCAAATGATGCACATGTGGAGAAGGACTTGGGGGTGCTGGCTGATGAGAAACTGAACTTCAGTGTTCGCTCAGAGCCCAGAACCCACCTTCTGCTGGGCTGCATCCCCAGGGCATGAGCAGAAGGGCAGGGAGGGGCCCTTTAATGCACTGTTGTGAGACCCCACTTACAGCACTGGGGGCAGTTCTCGTGTCCTCAACATAAGAAGGACATGGAGCTGTTGGAGCAAGGCCAGAGGAGGCCACGAGGATGCTCAGGGTCTGGAGCTTCTCCTGTATGGAACCAGGTTGAGAACATTGGGGCTGCTCAGCCTGGAGAAGAGAAGCTGCGTGGAGACCTCAGAGCAGCTTCCATTGCCTGAAGGGGGCTACAAGGATGCTGGAGAGGGGCTCTTCATCAGGGACTGCAGTGATAGGACAAGGGGTGATGGGTTCAGACCGAAACAGGGCAAGTTCAGGTTGGATCTAAGGCAGAAGCTCTTCCCTGTGAGGGTGCTGAGGCGCTGGCACAGGGTGCCCAGAGAAGCTGTGGCTGCCCCATCCCTGGCAGTGCTCAAGGCCAGGTTGGACACAGGGGCTTGGAGCAAGCTGCTCCAGTGGAAGGGGTCCCTGCCCGTGGCAGGGGTTGGAGCTGGGTGAGTTTTAAGGTCCCTTCCAACACAAACCAGTCTGGGATTCTATGGTCTAACACATCGTTCTTCTCCTTAGAAGGAGTCATGACAACTCAGGGCTTTGTTTTCTCGATGCCTCAAGCCCTCCCGGGAATATCGGATGTGGCGCTCCAACTTCGTGTCCCGGACAACCATCACCGTGTCTGCCTTCGCCGGCGAATACGACATCTGTCCCAAAGAGACTGCCCCGCTCCCTTCCTCACCCTCCCCAGCTCTCTGATTCTATTTTACAGATCTCCAAAAGAAACCTCAGCCGTATTCTGTATATTTTCTACTGTCCTACAGAACAAGTGAGCTGCTTCTACAGGTCCCCAGAGCCACAAAACCCCTATAGCTCGCCCGTCTCCCTGACCGCCACCTCACCCTTTGCAGGTTCTCGACCAGTATTATGCCTGTGGCTACCAGGACACGGCCTCCTACCTAAAAAGACTGAGTAAGTGCTTGGGAGGGAGGAGCAGGCAGGTCGGGTGCTTCTCACTATTGGTTTGCTGACAGAAGGTAAGAGATGCTGCCAGTGCTCCTAGGGTGACCAGGGCAGAGAGATCCCAGCATCCCTGGCATTGCAAGAATACCCTTGAGTCCCATCCTCTGTGATGCCTCTCCTGGAGCTCCCTGTTCACCCCTTCCCCTCTGACCGTGTTAGGTCCCCTCTTCTCTTCCACACTAGGCACGATAGAGCTTCACAGGGAATGCAGGTCCCCAGCACCTAGACAGAAGCATACGCTCAGGTGCCCTGTGTGATGTTAGCCTGATAACCTACTGATGCACAAAGCAGCAATGTTCGGTGACTCCTGACCCAGAAACCCAACTCAGATTAGCCATGCACTGGGGGCATCAGTCCCCCTCTTTTCCAGTACACCCTGGTCAAACTGATCAATCCTTTCCATTGCTGGAGACCTGGTAGTTGAGCAACAAGCAGTAAGAGATGGGTTCTTTTCCCACCAGATGAATTTGGTATAAATTACCTTGATGAGGACTTTATGCTTCCATTCACCAATGAATCGTGTCAGAAAGGTGAAGAGACCTTGCACTGGAAGCCAGAAACAAGAGTACTTCACTCCAGAGCCAGAGACCCTCAGAGGATGACACAGAAGAGAACCCATGCTTATCGGCAGCAGATGAAGTGGCAAGAGGAAAGCTCTCCACCACCTTCTCCACCATCAGAAAGGTAGAGGACCAGCACTTCTTTACCCCATCAGTTTTCATTAGCTAAATGACACTTGCCCACGGCTCTCAATGACAAAAGAGGCTGGCTGAGGATTTGAAGGCTCCAGTAGTTAGAACATGAGCAATGTGAGAGGGTTCCCTCTTGGGTCACTAGGTATTAGTGAAGCCTCATGTTGAGCTTGGTTTGGGTGGACGGAGGACTTGGAGTGTGGCCAGGTTAGAAGGGCTCTTCAGAGAAGCAGCTCTTTCTATGAACAAAGACTTTTCTTCACCATGTAAGGTAGAAACAGATTCTACCTACACATGCTTTCGTTAAGGGTGAAGGAAGGAGCAGTGTCTCAATGCTCAGAGCTGGGTTTCTAGTGAGTACCTCGATGTGCAGCCACATGTGAACACTGAAGGGCAAGAAAAGCCCATTCGAGTTGCAGGTGAACCTCTACATGTATCATTTTTAAGCAACATAAGGCAGGTTTAAATCCCAAACTTCTCATTTGCTGCAATCCTCTGCAAAATAATGCCCTCTCCCTTTTCAGCTGTGACATGGAAACCCGGTGAACCCTCAGCATTTCAGATTCCAGTTTGTCTTCTTGTTACTAGGAGAACGCAGAGCAGCCTGTGCAGGAGTACAGCATGTTTTTTCCATTTTATTATTTATTTTCTTTCTCTCTTTGAGTCTTCCAGAATTTCTGAATTTGTGAACTTAGGAAAACAGTTTTTCCAACATGGTGATGCTTTAAAATGTTGCCACATAAACAAAAGGTGAAAAAAGACCCAAATGCTGTTGTGCCATATCTAGGAGGACCACACCAAATGAGGAACATCAAGGGGAAAGAACAGGACTAGTACCATTCCAGATCTAGAAATAAAAGCTTGAAATACATAAAATGAAAGCAAAGAAGGTATTTCCATTGAGAACAGACAACTCTATGGGACCCACACTAGAAATGCAGGGCACAGTCTTAGGCTGTAGTTTGCTCCCATGCTTGGTTTTAAAGGCTTCATCAGTCTGAACTGCATGGAGCTTTTGAAAGCAACACAGCAGGAACCAGGTTCCTTTGGAGGCTGGGCAGGCTCTGTGCTATCAGGAGTCTCAGTCGCTGGTTTGCAGGTTGGCTGCAATGCTTTTCACCAACCTAAGGTCACCTGCAGAAGGAATTGAGACTCCTTTGTACTAATGTAACTAATGAACTAATGTATGTGTGAAATGTCAGCTCTCCTGATGCAGCAGGAGATGAACTCTGCAAGACTGCATTACTTTGAAGTAAGGGGAGGTTAATCTTGATGTTTGTCCATCCTTCTCCACAGCTGCACATTCAGAGGGGTCCAAAGGTGTGCCTACCTCCCCTGGCAGGAGCAGCCAACCTCCAAGGGCGTATGAAGCTCAAGAATAGGTAATTGGTAAAATAACTTCAGGGAAGTGGGCAAAAAAATCCTTCCTGCCCAGTGTGATGCTCCCTAAAGCGTCTCCCTCCCTCTGTTTTCTGCTTCTCTGCAAGTTTTGGAGTGGGAGGAAAACACTTGAAACGTGACATTTCCTGCAAACCCTTGTCCTGCAATCTGCATGAAAGCAGGGGGAGGGATGCTGCTGGTGAGCAGCAGCTGGGGTGGCTGGGGAAGCTGGTGGCTGGGCTGTACACACATGCAGGTGAGGATGCTCGGTCTGCCCTGTGCAGGCTGTGGTTGGGCGCAGATGCAGCGCTGCGGTGCTTTCCCTGCAGCCATCATGATAAAGCAGGTCAGGCCTGGGCAGGGGGACTGTGGCAGCAGCACTGGGAATGGAATCAGCCAGTTTCCACCAGTGGAAAAAGAAAACCAACGCCGCACTCCCCAGAACTCCGTAAGGATCCAAGCCGCTGTGCGGAATGAGCTCCGGAGTCACCCACCGCTTCCCAGGGCAGGAGAACCACTGCATCAGAGCCCCCCAGGGCCCATCCAGGCCGCTTGCCTGAGGGAACAAGCTGGCAGTTAGTTGGGTCCTGGTGGGTGAACCAACAGGAACAAGTAGTCCCAGGGGTGTTTGATACCAAAGGGCTTTTTCCTAGCTGAGGAGTTGCGTCACTGGGTGAAATCAGGCAGTGCAAGCCTCCTCACCAGCTGCATGTGAAGTAGCTTGCAAGCAGGTTTTGGGGAGGTTTGGTTTAAAGTTATCCATGTGGCAAGTTAAATGCCTCAAATCCTTGAGAGTTTAGTACCAAAACATCGCTCAGGCTTTTGGTGAACATGCCTGATGTCCTGCTAGGACAGAGCCCAGCAGATAAATGCTTTGGAACAGGAAAACGTTGCTATAGGCAAGCGGCACTAAGCTGGTTTACAGTTCCTTTGAGACATCACTCAATAATACCAGAGGGAGGGGGGAAATAGCTATTTTTAATGTGGGATAGCCAGGATTTGGAGTTTTTAGTCACACTCAGCATCAGTGACCCATGGCTGAGGTCCCCCAGGGTTTCCCTGCTCTCCCTGCTCAGGGTCTTGCATCCCCTGAGCACCTCACCCTGGCTGTGGCTTTCTTGGGCAATCCAGACACCACGGTTTGGAAGAGCTTTAATCCATTTTACCATGGAGCTATTGAGCAGCCCCCACAGCTTCCCCAGCCTGCAAACCCAAAATAAATAGCCTGAGTTTGATGACCACTCAGTGCAGCCAACAGGGGAGGGTGTTAATGGGAAATGCACGTTGTGATGCTCCTCATACCCAAGCAATCCTATGGTGGTCCTGTTACCCATAACCTCTCCCTGAGAGCTTGCCTTCAAGGAATACAACTAAAACCTTCTTAGAGTAAGGGGATGCTGCTACACATGTTGATTCAGCAGATGTGCCTTGGTCCATAGAACAGAAGGGATTCACCGTCAGCCCACACTGCCCCAGAGGCTGCCCCATGTGTTTCCAGCAGCTGAAAGATGCTGCAGCCCATTGCACACTTCAATGCATGCTAATCCTGCACTGTGTCCCTGCAGCTATCTCAGCACTGCTGAACCCACGGCCACTCGTTCCTGTAGCACTTTCAGCTTCAATGCCTCTATCAAGATGTTCTTACCCCTTCCTGAAGAAAGCTGGCAGCCTGTATGGTTGCAACAGGACCTTTGACAGTGGATCCTGAAGTCCAGAGAGCTGCTCCTTCCGCCGCATACCCAAGCCTGTACCCATGGATGACAACACAGAAGCAAATAAAGACCAGGAATTCAAACTAACCCAGTAAATGCAATAATTCCTCTTGGCCAGCAGCTCTTGCTGCAGCTCAGCCTGTAGGTACTGAAGCCCAGGCTTGAATCCAGCTTGAGCTGCTCTTACAAAGCTTCTGTGTAAGAGCGGCTACTGCAGATACAGGAATGTTTCCTATAATAACTAACTCAGTAATGTCTTTAAGGTAATGCTGCGCCTCTCAAAGACTGCCCCAGTCCTCAGAGGCCCCGAAACCCAGGATGAGCACCCCGAATCTTCTACCTGGCAGGAAGCAAGGAGCTGGGCACTGTGTTTCCATTTTGCATAGGCCAGAGCACGTCCTTTTGGATGGGGCAAAGTCATTCTTCCCACATGAGCTGGTGAAGCGGAAATTCCCATTGCAGTAGTTAAAGCCAAAGGCATCTGTGGGACACAAAAGAGAGGGATGAGGTTTGCGTGTGTGTTGTGCATCTAGGCCAGCCTTCAGGTCCTGGTTATCACTTACTGTTCCTGTACAGGAATAGGGCAGTGTCCTGGTACCCTTGGGAGAAGATGTCGTTCAAGACCTGCAAGCAGAAACACTTGAGGTCACTAAAGAGCTTTCCATCCAGGCACTGACAGGATCTGCCCAGCTGTGGAGGGTTGGGGTGGCGCAATTGAAAGGCAGCAAGCACAGGCTGGCTTCCAATAACCAAAGCTGTAGTCCTTTGCACGTTATTAAACCAGGGTGGACCCCATTCCAGGTTGGCCACCTGTCAGCAGTGCCCACCAAATAAATGCACTGCAAAACCAGTAGGTACTGCACCCTCCGTGTGAGATCTGATTGATTACGGATGGAGATGGAGCTGAACCTTAAAGCTTGGGAAGGCAGGTCCAGCACCAGTTTGTTTTAACCAAAACAAAGCTGCTGGCTTACCATGGTGCTGGGTGGAAAGAGAGCATAGCTAATCCTGCAGAGGTTTTCTATTGAGATCTGAATGCTGCCATTGAAGATCTGGAAGCAGTAGAAGATGGCAGGACAATCCCTTGGGCAGATATCGAGCTCTCCTGTGAATGGGGACACGGTGATCACAGGTTCCTCCAAGCTGGAAACAGGCTGCAGACCAGTGAATCCTCCATCCACGTATCGCTGAGGGGGAAGAGCAGAGGAGGCTTTGCTCTGGGGGTTGCTACGGTGTGTGTGGGAGTGAGGGCAGTGTCACTGAGGGGAAAGCAGGCAAAGGCAACACCTCCTGCCACGAACCCATCCCAGCATGTCCTCTCTCTTCCCATCTGCAAATGCATCTCTTCCTACCCCTTGCTCTTCACCTTGGCCTCTGCCAGCTCTTTCTGCTGCCCTGCCTATGGCACCCAGCGGCTCCTCGCCCAGCTGTTGTGATCCACAGCGATTATTAGAACAGAAATAGAGTTATTTTGATTCACAAAGCTTCGTAAAGTTGTTTTGGCAGTCAGTGGCCAACTCAAACATTGTCCGCAAGTGCTGAGGGAACCGGCGGAGGTCATTGCTAGACCGCTCTCCATCATCTTTACCAAGTCTGGGGAAACGGGAGAGGTGTCTGAGGACTGGAGGAAAGCAAATGTCACTCCTGTCTTCAAAAAGGGCAAGAAGGAGGACCCGGGTAACTATAGACCAGTCAGCCTCACCTCCATTCCTGGGAAAGTGATGGAACACCTTATCCTTGGTGCCATCTTAAGGCATATCAAGGATAAGAGGGTTATGAGGGGCAGTCAACATGGCTTCACCAGGGGGAAGTCAGGCTTGACCAATCTCGTAGCCTTTTATGAGGAAATAACACGGTGGATGGATGATGGCAGAGCGGTGGATGTGGTCTACCTCGACTTCAGCAAAGCGTTTGACACGGTCTCCCACAGCATCCTTGCGGCTAAATTGAGGAAGTGGGGTCTGGATGATCGGGTAGTGAGGTGGACTGTGAACTGGCTGAAGGAGAGAAGCCAGAGAGTTGTAGTCTATGGGGCGGAGTCTAGTTGGAGGCCTGTATCTAGTGGAGTGCCTCAAGGGTCGGTACTGGGACCAGTATTATTTAATATATTCATCCATGATTTAGATGAGGGAATTGAGTGTACTAGCAGCAAGTTTGCTGATGACACTAAGCTGGGAGGGGTGGCCGACACGCCAGAAGGCTGTGCTGCCATCCAGAGAGACCTGGACAGGCTGGAGAGCTGGGCGGGGAATAACTTGATGAAATATAACAAGGGAAAGTGTAGAGTCCTGCATCTGGGCAGGAACAACCCCAGGTTCCAGTATAGGCTGGGGAACGACCTGTTAGAGAGCAGTGTAGGGGAGAGGGACCTGGGGGTCCTAGTGGACGACAGGATGACCATGAGCCGACACTGTGCCCTTGTGGCCAAGAAGGCCAATGGCATCCTGGGGTGTAGTAGAAGGGGGGTGGTTAGTAGGTCGAGAGAGGTCTTCCTTCCCCTCTACTCTGCCCTGGTGAGACCTCATCTGGAATATTGTGTCCAGTTCTGGGCCCCTCAGTTTAAGAAGGACAGGGACCTGCTGGAGAGAGTCCAGCACAGGGCAACTAAGATGATTAAGGGAGTGGAGCATCTCCCTTATGGGGAGAGACTGAAGGAGCTGGGTCTCTATAGTTTGGAGAAGAGGAGATTGAGGGGTGACCTTATTAGTGTATATAAATATATAAAGGGGGAGTGTCCCGAGGATGGAGCCAGGCTCTTCTCAGTGGCAAACAATGATAGGACAAGGGGCAATGGGTACAAACTGGAACACAAGAGGTTCCACTTAAACTTGAGAAGAAACTTCTTCTCAGTGAGGGTGACAGAGCACTGGAACAGGCTGCCCAGGGAGGTTGTGGAGTCTCCTCTGGAGACATTCAAAACCCACCTGGACACGTTCCTGTGTAACCTTATCTAGGTGTTCCTGCTCCGGCAGGGGGATTGGACTAGATGATCTTTTGAGGTCCCTTCCAATCTCTAACATACTGTGATACTGTGATACTGTGAAACGTCACTGAATTTAGAGTGTCCTATAGATTTCAAGTCCTGAACTCAAGCAGTCAGGCTCCTACATTCAGTATTCCACCCAGCTATCATCAGGATGGGATGAAGAACAGGATAGAAGGCTTCATCATCCTCCATTAGCTAAGCAGAATCCTAGGCTGATATATCCCTCTCTGCTCAAGAGAACATAAACCCAAGAACATACTGCTGGGACAAGTTTTACATGCAATAGCACTCACCACACCTCGGTAGGATGGAGGGATGAAGCCACAGTAGATGGGAAGAAAGCAGCTGCAGAGGAGAGCCTGGGGGATGAGAGGGGTTGCAGAAGTAAATGGCCCTGTCAGACTTGTCCTGGACAAAAGCTGTTGACATGATGCCTGCAAAACCAGGCTTGACCTGGCTGTCGGTGCCACCTGGACTTTGCATTTGACTGTGTCAAGAAGAAAGGTGTTAATGAAGGGGAAACACCTCTCTTGAGAAGGGCAGAGCGCTTCAGTTTGTCATGTTTTGAGCTGCCAGCAACATTACAGGTGTATAATTCATATATCACTGTCCAAAAGTGCCCTTCAGCAGTGCCAAGGTGAAGCTTTGGGGTCATTTTTCATGTTTGAGGGGTTTGGGACAGTACCAAGACTTCCTCCTCCCAGTGCATTTTCATTCTGCTGGGGTTGTCCATGACAAAGCCACTGCTGGGCCATTCACAACCATTTTCTACCAATCTCATGACCTTGGAATAAGCATCCTACGCCCCTGGATTGACCTAGGGCAGGCACCAGAGGGTGAACTCTAACATATCCATGGACTTGCCATCCTCTACTGTCTCCCTGGGATGAGCAAGTCCATGACTTCATGGTCTGTTAGGGATTGACCCTGGCTTTCTTTTCTCCAGCAGCTCATTCACTGGTGAATCTGCTGCTTGTTTGGCACCACAGACACTTTGTCCAGCTTTTCCTTCCAGGGAAGTGCTGAGGCAAGGAGGAAAATCACTGCCAATGGGACTTCCCTGAGGAAAGACCTGCCCAGAAAGCTGGGAGGTCATGTTAGCATTAACAGCTCTGCAAAGAGTCATCGGTCATCTAACACGGAGGTTGGAGGGAAAAATAGAGAGAAAGTCAGGAACTGCTGCCCAAACAGTTGTGAGTTTTATACTATTTTTAACACTCCCCACAAATAAAGCCTTTTGCACGATCCTGCTGCTACAGTGGGCGATGTTGTGGAGAAGAGAAAGGGGAGGATGTCCTCAGAGAGCAATGTATTGCTGAGCACAGGCTCAGTGGTGAAATCCCATCTGCACCAGAGGTGGTTGCTCAAGAAGAGCCTGGGCAGGGATTAGGGAAAGGCTTCAGAGAGCCCTGGGAAGAGGTAGGTGCACAACACGTTCCTGCCTTCCCCCTCCACGTGGCAGTGCCAGCTCCACAGTGGGCTTCACATGGGCAGCTGGGACAACTCAAAGGTGAGGACAAGGGGCACACCACTGGTGACCTCCCAGCCAGTGTTAACAGTCATTACGTGTGTCTGCACATCCCAGAAGCTGGATTAAAGGAGCAGAGCTGCAGAGCCATGGCCAAGAGCTCAGGAGACACCAGTTTTGGAAGGCTGCATGATGATGGGGGGAAGAGGGGTGCAGCAAAGCCTGTGGCCAGCCTGGTCCTGGGGAGCTCACTTGGTGGAACTGTAGCAATAGGACACGGGGTGATGGGTTCAGACTGAAACAGAGGAGGTTCAGGTTGGATCTAAGGCAGAAGCTCTTCCCTGTGAGGGTGCTGAGGCGCTGGCACAGGGTGCCCAGAGAAGCTGTGGCTGCCCCATCCCTGGCAGTGCTCAAGGCCAGGTTGGACACAGGGGCTCGGAGCAAGCTGCTCCAGTGGAAGGGGTCCCTGCCTGTGGCAGGGGTTGGAGCTGGAGGAGCTTTAAGGTCCCTTCCAACCCAAACCTGGCTGGGATTCTGTAACTTCTCTCTTGGGTCCTTCATTTTTCTTTGCTCTTTTCTCCCTTGCAGTTCAGCAGTGGGATCTGCAACGCTCATGCAAGTTTTGTGCAAGGAGCTTAGTGTCTTGGCTTCTGGGTAGAGCAGGGTGGTGACATCCACTGCTCCCATGTGGAACTAGGGCTGGATTAATGCTGGTGCTCAGAAAAACTTGCCTAGATCAGGGCTGCATCCAGCCACAAAGCTCACCCAGCACTGCCTCCATACACTGCAAGGGCAAGAGAAGCATCATCCAAACCCTGAGTGGGTTTGGAAGCCTTTTTAGCTGAAGACACTGGGTAGATTTCCATGTCCAAGTTCTTGCTGTTACAGCTGCTTCTGCTTGCCCAGCTTTCAGTGCTGCTTTGCCCTATAGCAATTTCCCAGTGTCTCACCTAGCTCCAAGTCTAAGAAGGCTTTGCATTTCTGGTTGGATAATCACTAGATCACTGTGTTTATCTGACTTCTTTTCCCACCTCTTGACTTCTTTATTGACCTGTTGCTCTACTGCAACCTCAGCCATTTAAGAGACAGATTAACCCACGAGTTGTTACCTGGACTCTGTTTTTTACCCTTTTGTAAGCAAACTCAACCCTGGAATTGTGAAACGAGGAGGACATCTTGGCTGGAGATTTCTTTAGTAACCCAAACACCTTCTCCAGTCCCTGGGACAGGGTTTGGTAACCTGATACACATGGGGCAAGACAGTCTTGAGCAGCATCATGCAAGACTCTTGTGTCCCAGGGAATATTTGCTGATTCCTATCTCCCAAGAGCCTGGAAACTTAGGCTGGGACCCCAGGGTGCCACTGGGTACCCACCAGCATGGAGAAGCAACTTTTTGCTCTGGAGAACTCACTCCGAAGGCCTTGCTGACCTCCCTTGGGCTGATTCCCAGCACTTCAGTGAGACATGGAATGTCCACATGGCCTGGAGCCTTTACCCAGTGCACAGCTTAGAAACATAATGCAATGGTGTCATTTGATTTTAATGAGTGGCCTTAGGAATGAAGGTGTCACGTCATCCCCTGCTGCCCACTGTTTCACAGGAAGGGTGACTTAGGGATCAGAGAGATATAAGACAGCAAGAGTGTGGTCAGAAACAGAAGCAGGGTGGGAAAAGCCACAGCACAGTATAGAAAAAAGCCTTCCAAACGTGTTCTGGACAGCAGCTTTCTTG